TTCCAAGCACTAGAAATTGGCAAAGGCGTGATTTCAACTTCTTGCGAATTGTTGTTTACTTCCATCATTTCATTATCGCTTTCGTTAATATCAGATACTTGACTTTCTTGATCATCTGAATCAATTTCCATTTGTAAATTTGATTTTTCAGCATCATCTTCAACCTAAAATTACAAATACCATTAAAAATAGTACAGTAGTACACGATAAACATTCGGATTTGATCGACATTTCGTGTAACATCTAACGACTTGTAAACTAAAATTTTTTCAAACGATATCTCGATAACCACCAAGCCAAATTTGATAAACGTTTTTTATTTGGATTCTATAAGTTTATAGAATTCGGATAAAAAAAGTTTATCGACTTTGGCTTGGTGGTTGTCAAGATATCTTTAATCAAAGTTCGGGAAAGTTTTGACGCAGCTTTATTTTGATAAGTTTTATAAAATTTAAACGAAGATATATCGTCAACCACCTAGTCAAATTTAATAATTTGCATTCTACAGATTCGTAATTTTAAATAAAAAAATGTTGATCGAATTTGACTTGGTGGTTGTCGAGATATCTTCGCTCAAAGTTTGAGAAAAATTTTGACACAGCTTATATTTAAATGTTTTGAGTTTTCTTAAAACTTTGAGCGAAGATATCTCGACAACCACCAAGTCAAATTCAGTCAACTTTTTTTATTTAAATTATATGAATCTGTAGAATGCAAATAAAAAAAAAAACTTTATTAAATTTGACTTAGTGGTTGACGAGATATCTTCGCTCAAAGTTTTAAGAAAACTCAAAACGCCTATAAAAATATTAACCAAGCTGCCACCGGCAGATTCTCGATTTTGATTGACTAAGAGTGACAATCAATAATTTTACTAATGAAATCATAGCCGCCCATTAAGTGAAAATTGTTCCTGGGTCAATTTTACCATAATGCTGGCTTATTTTTTAAGAATTTCTATTTTTGTAATGAAAAAATTAAAAAGTTAATTCCGGCCGAAATTTAGTAAACAATTTTGTAATGTGGGCCAAAATTTTGAAGATCCTCGGCCGTTAGCCAATCAAAATCGAGGATCTGCCGGTCCAAATTTGTTGCGGCAGCTATGGTTAATATAAAATTAAATCTGTAGATATCTCAACAACCACCAAGTCAAATTCGGTAAACATTTTTTATTTAAATTTTACGAATCTGTAGAATGCAAATAAAAAAAGTTTATTAAATTTGACTTGGTGGTCGACGAGATACCTTCGCTCAAAGTTTTAAGAAAACAAAACGTTTATAAAAATAAAGCTGCGCCAAATTTTTTCTCAAGTCAAATTCGATCAATGTTTTTATTTAAATTCTACAAACCTGTAGAATGGAAATAAAAAAAAGTTTATTAAATTTGACTTGGTGGTTGACGAGATATCTTCGCTCAAAGTTTTAAGAAAACTCAAAACGTCTATAAAAATAAAGTTGCGCCAAAACTTCCCCGAACTTTGAGCAAAGATATTTCGACAATCACCAAGCCAAATTCGATAAACTTTTTTTTTATCCGAATTCTATAAACTGATGGAGTCCAAAATAAAAATGTTTATCGAATTTGGCTTGGTGATTGTCGAGATATCTTTGTTTAAAGTTTGAAAAAAGTTTAGTTTACAAGTCGTTAGAAGTTACACAAAATGTCGATAAATTTTGGACGCTGTTATATTTGATAGCAACTTAAAAAAAATAATCAAACAACATACCTCCATATCGTCATCCATATCCTGATCTGATTCATCAAGTAAATCTATACCATACTCCTTAAAACACGAGTTTTTAATACCAAAAGCGACTTTTTGTGTAGTAAAATCAATGTTCAAAACCACTGCAGTTACATGTTGACCAGTTTTATATAGTGCTGATACATCTTTAACAAAGTCTTCTGATAATTTTGATATATGACAGAGACCACTCACAGAACTATTATTAATTTTGATAAAAACACCGTATTTTTCTACTGCAGTTATAGTACCCTTAATTTTTTGTCCAGGTGAAAAATCTTCAATTGATTTTGTACCTGATATCATAAATTTTTCTTGATCAGCTGCTTGTTGAAGTGCCACCAAAACACGATCTATGACGTTACTATCGTTAACATTATTATCATTCTTATGTTGTGGAACGTGAACTATTTGTACTTTTACTTTTTGTCCAAAAGAATATCGCATAAAAGGTTGTGTTCGATTATTATAGCTTTTGGCCGCAGCAAATGCAATCGTATTCCATTGTTCCGGAAGAGAAACAATAATATAGTCATCTTTAACTAATTCAATAATGGCATCAACTGCAATACCCTTTTTGGAAACTTTCTTGAGTTCCTTATACTATAGATTTTTTTGATATATAAGTAATTAGATTACAGGAAAATACTATTTGACCTAAATAACTTACTTTATTATTAATCGGCTTATTGCTCTGTATTTTAAATTTATCTACTAATTCTGGCCTTACTGCCAGATCTGCTTGCTTTCCTTTCATATCTAAGTCAAGCACAATTCCATATAATAGGTCATTCTCGTTAACTCCTTCATCCCTACAGTTTGCTTGATATTCGTGTATAAATCCTTTTATCTTGACATCCATATTGTCCTCTAAGAGGACATTTCCTTTAAATCCTGATACTCCACGTTCAGATATTTGCTTGTTTACTTTACATTTAACTACTTCACCGATATTGACCTTTTTCTCGATGGTTGAAAGTGACGTTTGTCCATCTTGAGGTATAAGTTCATTGAAATAGGTTCTTATAAAATCGCCTTGCAATATGTATGGAAGTGCAGTAACGGGGGTATCCGATAACTTTAGAGACACTTCACACCTTGAATTTTCAGTATCAACAGAAATTACACGGCAAATGACTGATTGATGAGGATAAAATAATCCAACAGGACTGGCGACATAATGGTCTGCAATAGTCTGAATATTTTTTTCAATTTTAGTATTTTAAAATATGAAATGATATAAAATATAAAAAGGTACTTACATGTCTCATGGCCCTTGCGGTAAATCCACCCAAGAAACCAATAAATACAGCATAATCAGTAATACTTTTTACATATCCTGGTATTACATCACCTACTTCAACTTCTTGTATTGATTTAGGCAATTTACCATTTTTTGCAGCTTCGATAAGCAAATGCTTATTGCTTACATTTACAAACCCTCTTTCATCACTTTTTGAAATTATTATTAGATCATTTAACATGTAGCCTGGCTTTAATGATTTTACAATGTTTAAAAGATGAGTAGATGATAAGTGGTCGGACAAATGTCCTATATTGAGATTAGCATGAATTTGTGAAGGTTCCAAAGACAATGTTATAATCTCTTCTTTAACTCTTATTATATTGCCCTTGACCAGCTAAATATAACATACATTTAATAAGTAAATAAGTAAATAAGTAAATAAGCAAATGAACAAAATAAGAAACAACACCCTAACGTTAATAAAAATAACAACCTCTCCTAGTTGAACACCAATCGGAAATACATTTCTAGATGGTTCAAGTTGAAGAACA